TTGCGCTAGCTTACGTGGTTGCAGAGCTACCGGGATTTAAAAATAGTTACGCAAAACAGAGCGTGCCCGCTCCGACCGGCTTTAAAGGGTTAAATAATAACTCCATGTTAGCCTCTTCTACTAAGTACTTGTTCTGACTCTAAGGCCTGTGTCTGTTCTAACAGGGCTACAGCACTCCGTACCCAGGCCGAGTCCGGTCACCCAGTTCAGTGGGCTCGGAAGGCGGAGGAGAGAAGATCCTCAACGATGACGAGGAGTCAGTCAGCTCCCTCATCCCAGCCTATCTCAACTCCCTCAAGAAGCTCATGATTGATTAGGAGCATGGCTTCAATTTCACCATCATCCCCCAGAAGTGAAGCATGGTACAGTATGAAGTTTGAAACATCCAAAAGGTTCCATGGGTGGAACCTGACTTTTTTTTGTGTATGCTGTACATTCCTGTTGAGTTTTCTACAATGTACTTGTGGCTTCCTCTCTGAGTGAAAGGTCATAGCCCTGACACATTCCAGCTTTATATCCCCTTTTTATCCATTTATACTGTAACATTTGTATGTAAAAACTAATAAATGTATTTCTAAGTGTTCCAAATTTCCAAATATCTAAAGAACAATCCTCAGGCTGATTCTCAGTCTGGAACACACCATTTTATATGAGATATTGTATTTGTTTAATACATAAAAAGCCAGACAAGACAAAGCATCAATAGTTACAAAATAAAGCTGGCACCCAGAATCTGCAGTTCCTCTAATGGCCACATGAGGCTGTTAAAAAAGCAAGTCAATCCACTACAGACTTCCAAATCAAAATGTGCAACTTTACTGTACTGACATATATACGGGGTGGCTGAGGCTATTCCAGACATTTGTGCTTTAGCAGATATCCTTCTCTTTCTGTAAACATGCAGAGTTTATGGGTCCAGCTTGCTAATCAAGCCTGCTAGCATTAGTATTTACACTTCCTGATTTCTTAGATTTTCAAATATTTGTCACACACTCATGTTTCAGATCAAACACACGTGGACAAAAGTAACTGAAGTAAACAGAAAATACAGTTTTTACATGATGATTTCATTTATTAAGGAAAAAAGTAACCAAAAGCACCGGGGGCTATGTGAAAAAGTAACTGCCCCTCAAACATAGTAACTGGTTTGAGGGGCAGTTACTTGGGATGGAGCGTTTTTCATACATTTCCAGGAAGGATGTTGTTCCTCTTAGTAAATAAGCTCATTATTTAAAATCTGCATTTTGTATTTATTCTGGCTCTCTTTTTCCGATTTGATCATCAGGAATCAGGAAAGTACTGTTTGTAGTCAAGATTTCCTTCATTTAAGCAAATCCGTGACAACCTTTAAGATAAATAAGGTTCAAACTGGCTGCAGTATTTATTAAACCATACATGCGAGAGGCTACAGGGACGTTTTTGAGTCCGTACATAAGTGGTGACTTAAATATAAAACACTTTTTTTCATGATTAACTTTTGCCTTATAAATGACTTCAGTCACTATCATAAAGTGTTGCTGGGGTGCTGTCAGCACATGGAGTATTTTAGGCCATTAATGTCAGTGTATTTTCATATTTCAAATGTATCTGTCTGAACTTTTCACTGACTAAACCTGTAACAAGACCTGACCAAATATGCTGTTGAATGTGAATATGTTTTTTTAAGGAAATAAAA